TATTATAAACATGCTACTAATAAACAGGGTCAATAAATACAGATTTTCACATGCATCTGCCAAATGTTAAAGAACACTATGGAAACCAAGCATGTGCCCTTTAAGTCACACAGACGCTGTCATCAATCACTAGGCCACACTGGCCCTTAGATTAAGTCCTCTAGGTATATCTATTTAACAAGGTATGTTTGTGATTTGTTATCTCAGTGTCAGTGGTCAAAGTTTCATTAACAGCCTCAGAAGTGATTTGCATACTCCTCAGACACATTTAGAATAACAGATTGCTCTGCACGCAGACACAGGGACAAGCAGATGTTTTACTGTGAGTGATCTCTGGAAGCTTTGGCTCACACTCTCGGTTCACAAACCAAACAGTGCCTGGACAGACAGAGAAGGACAGCTTGTCTCTTTCATCACATGTACCCACTGCAAACACCATATACATTTTTGGCTGCTGGGTAAAATCCTTGTTTCGACTTCTTTCAAGTTCCTGTCCTGAATTTTTAAAGCATTTCATAAGTGTAAAAGTCATACAGTCATCTCATATCAAACCCACAGAAAACCACAAAGGTACGTGGTTTTTTAAATATATAAATAAAAAAGTCCATGGCAGTCTCCTCTTAAAAAAAAAAAGACAGCCCTTTAAAATCAGCCCATCAAATTAATAAGCTTCCCCCGTGTATTTGGTGCCTCCAAAGAGCTATTTAAAGGTCATTTACTAATTCTGTCCCAGAGTAGCTGTGCCATAAGAAACTATTTTTCATGATCATTTAAGAGAAACACAGCGTGACTGTCACATCCGTTAACTCTCACTAAACACTCCAAGGTTCACAGTGTGGTTTCCTGGTAACTGACAAAGGTCATAGTGGATCAACTAATTAGGCCACCGTAAGGTAACAAAGCCAGTACGCTTCCATTAACCAACACACATAATAGAGAAGTGGTTCCACAGAGTCACTGAGATCTCTTATTACCAAATGATAAACAAGGCTTCTTAACAATGTAATGAAATCAGATATACTGTAAGCTGGTAACGCTGCATACCAAAACATACGCACCTGGTATGCAGAGAAAATACAAACAGAACACACTGCATAGTTGTCAAAGCTCTGTGCTGCTTTAGTTTGCGCTCTTTGTAGCTACAGCACTGTGTATATGACTTACAGCATAATAGAGTGTACGTACACAGCGCTGCCTTGTCTTCAGGCATTCGTGTATTCACTGTGCTCTACCTATCAATTACATCCTAAAGATCAGCACAAAGACTGTCATATTTTAAAGTAACAGTTTGGCATTTTGGAAAATCCTCTTTCTGGCTGTTTTGTTTCTCAGCGGTAGCTTCACAGTGTACAAACAGTGGCAATGATCTTCTCATGAAACAATTTTCCAAAAGGTCTTTCCTTTAACATTTTCATTTATTTCAAGTAGAGCTGGGCGGTATGGTTGAAATCATTACCACGATATTAATAAGAACATGCTTCCGATGTCTGTATATATGACAGTACAACAATTGGCTGGCCTGCTTTTCTTATCATGCCTCACGTGGCTGGAATATGTTACCAGTGGATTTAAGAGAACTAACAACATATGGCATTTTTGCTAAAACATTGAAAGTCTGTATCATCATGATATCTGATAAATGTGTTTAATGTGCTTCTATAGTAGATATATATTTATTATGTTTGGTTGCAACATATGCTTCCTCCACTCCCTTGGGCGCATATTTTACTTCAATGAACAGATGGTTTTATATTTTTATGACTGCTGATGTCTAAATTATCTTAGACATTGACCCATGTATTTTACTTATGTATTATAATTTCTATACTTACTTACAATTTGCCTTTTAGTAATTTATATCTATTTTTGGTGCTTGTTAACATCTCTGATGTTAGTCAATGTATTTGTCTCTGACAAAAGAAAGAAAGAAAGAGAAAATGCAAACACAAAGAGCAGTTTTTAATTACAATCTGCTCTGAAGAGTTTTGAAAAACTGTAGTATTGTGATCATATACTCACAATTAGCTACCACTAAGCATAGCTAAATGATAAAAAGCTAATTAAGTCCCAGCTGTATTACAAGTATTGTAATGTGAGATTCTGTTTACTGTTGGAGAAACTATATTTTGGTTTTACTCTTGTTTGTTAGCAGAGTACGTCAAAAAAAGTATCCTAATCTATTTGGTTTAAGTCTAGTAGACACCCAGCCCTTGGTTCAATCATGAATTTTCAGTCATGTGGTTACTGCTGTTCACTCTTGAGTGTGCAGAGGTTGTGTACTGGTGAGCAAGTCGCACATTTTTCTAATCTAGGTGCTTAAAACTGTGACCTACTAATTGCACCGTTAGGCTAAGATCCAGGTATATTTTCTTCCAAAACAATCACCATCACTCAATGAAGATTTCTCCAGTGTTCACTTCAGCATCTGTGGGGAGGCTTTCGATAAACTGTAGTGACGTGACCCGTATGAATCCAAGTGGAGTGCACATTGTTGTAAACATCCACTGTGTGAATTGATCTGACCCCTTTAAACGCCCGACAACTCACCACTCATTCAAATCAACAGGCACAGTTTCTAAGTGGGAGGTAGAGGATCTGTCTCCTCTTCTGATGCTCTGACTGTGTGGCACACTTTGATTCACACCGATCAAAGGAACTACAGTATATAAAAGGACAAAAAAATCATCTAAAAAAGCCTCTAACATGTGCCAGGCTACCAACTGTCTAGAGGAGTGGCCACACTATTTTTATGTGTGAAGCCTTGTAGTAAAGGTCAGACCCCCGCCTCAACAGGCCAGGATATCTGTTGGGTATAGGTACTGTGGCTGTGCTCTGCTCTTACAGTATGTGCATTGATTTAGAGATCTTATGCAAGCCCCCCCACCCCACATCCTCTTACAGATTAGCGTCTCTCCAACTCCCACACCTCCATCTCTCAGCCCACACACTCTTCCAACGCACATGGGCGCACCAACTGTATCAGCCCTTGTTTAACTATTTATGCCTCTGTTTAGTGCAGTAACCTTAGATGTGCTCTTTTACAAGGTCATCATGTTAATGCCCCTCTCTTTGCAATACGATTTGTGCTACACCACCTACTATTTGTGGTTTCAAGATGTCTGATTAACAACTCACCCCCTGTCTGCAAGCTTGCTCATTCAAAGCCTTGATCCATGCTCCCTGCCAGCACTCGCTGAAGGACTTGAAGGAGAACAGAGAGGTCAGCAGGTTTTTAACCCCGACCTCAGATGCAGATGCTCCATCCCTGCTCAAGCGAAGCTTCATCAGGAATCCCCACACACCTCCAGCCTTGCTCCGGTGGGGCTGCGCGAAGAGGAGCTGCTGCCAGGCAGTTTCCTTCCTGTCTTGCTTGGATGTCTTCCTGGCTCTCCACAGCCGCAGAACGGTTTGGGAGTACTGGAACAGCCATGCCAGCACAATGAGCAAGGAGGCTAGAAAGACGACCACCAGACACGGCCCGCCTAACTCCTGGAGCTCCATCACCGCCTCCTGGAGCCTCGCATATCACCGGGTCCAAATGGAAATACCAGGACTGTCAGTCAAAGCAGAAAGCAGATCAGCAATCTTTAGCCTATGAATGGCAGCAAAAAGACAAATCGCCTTGATACAAGAGGCTCTTATAACTGAGGAACATCCCAGAATACACCGAAATTAACAGCCACGATGGCTACAACCACCTTAACTTTTATTTTTGTTTCATGTTAAAACACGTTCGTGTGGAACAGAACATGCACTGAAAGCTGCGTTATCGCTACGTAATTAAAAATGCATCATGCATTAGCAATGAGGACGATGCTGTGCAGGTGAACGGATAACACAGCAGGTAATCGATAGTAGCTACAAGTCAACCCACCGTTTAACTTAAACGGTCCGAGCTGCAGCCTGCTGGGAGTCGAAAGCAAGGTATCGGTAACATGACGCTGGTTTCTTGGCGATATGCAGCGCTAACACTAACAAACGTGTTTGTTCCATCTCCGTCTCATCGCTGACGTTTCGTCTCTGCTGTCATCTATCGACTCAAAGACGAGCCTTCTGCTCTCTATTAGTGCGTTACAAGCTCCAGAGGGTTTCAAATCTTCCCTGGTCGGTACACTGCTACCTATATAACCTCTCTACAATGGTGATCTGACAAGGAACGACGGGGCCCACAGGTGGTGCTACAGGGTACAAACACAACAACAAAGCGGAAGTGATATATAAGAGCCTTCAAAATAAAAGAAGAGTCTGTTGAGTTTTATTTTTATTACTTCCCAGTTCCTGTTTTTACCGTACTAGTACAATACCAACTGGGTCATTTGTTATTTAATAAACTCGTCACCCTATCTTGCAGAGAGGTCACTTGTTAAACTCCAGCTCTACAAATTTTCATATTTTTATTTATATAATATAATCCATAATCTAAATTTACACAGTGTGACTGTGCACAGACGGCCTGGGCCAAGTCATATCCTAGCATATGACAAGCCTGCTAGTTTCTGGGTCTTTGAGCAAACTATAATAAAGCTGCCATATAGCTTGCTGTATGGTCTGTATTTCATGGGAATACTACTGACAAATAGTAGTCCCATGAAATACAGCAAATGTTGGTCCCAGGCAAAGGCTTGTTTTTTTTTTTTTTTTTTTTTAATAATCTACGTTTATATTACAGCTCCATGAAATCCAGGAAAGGTTGGTCCCAGGGAAAGGCTTTTTTTTTTTTTTTTTTTTTACTAATCTACGTTTATATTACAGCTCTAGGTATTAATCATTTTGTTGTTTTTCATATATAAATAGAGTATGAGCCTATAAAATACAATACTTTGTTATACAACTATCCAACTGTAGGCTAAAAGTAGTCCCAAAGTAGTGTTAATACTACTTTGAGGTACGACGGCATGGTACCGATTTGAACCCTTCCAGTGCAGAGCACGTGATTGGTGATTAATCCTCCATCCCGTCTTTTTCCGTGTATATTTAACAGCAAGTTAAAGTTGCCCCCAACAGCCCTTAAACAATGAACCAGTAAGAATAACTTAATAATATATAACTGTAGTATAATAGGATCTCTAAATGATATGAGTCACTTTTCCAGAAATAAGTCTCCTTCTGATAGACCTACTTTAAGTACATTTTGCTAATGATATTTTAAATAGAGGGCTTGCAATGAAATATTTTATATTATTTTTTTAATATTATTTATACCCTTATTTAATTCAAAGTTCTGATTTTCTACTGATTTGTATAGTCATATTAAACACTGTAAAGTCAGATGTAGCCCTACAGTAAAGAAAGAAAGATAGAAGTTCTACAAATCTGTTTTTGATTACAGATGGCAGAAGCTCATCATAACAATGACACTTGGACCAAAGAAGAAGATGTCACTTCCGTGTTTAAACCATTTTGGCAGTGGCAGGAAGTTGAACCTAAACGTTTGTTTACTCTCAGTCAGGATAAAGGTTAAAATAAATTGTTGCCTTAAAACAGATTCAAATACATCCATCCATCCATCCATTTTCCAAACCGCTTAGTCCCAAAGGGGATCACGGGGGGCTGTATGTAAAAATAAAAATCACCCTAACATGCCCAGCCAGCTGCGGGCGAGAGGCGGGGTACACCCTGGACAGGTCGCCAGTCCATCGCAGGGCTGATACAAATATAGTGATATTCTATTAAAACAACAATAAATAAGTTGTATTATATATGATTTCACATATAAGATTTCCCTGTAATGCGTCTTTTTTCAGTCATACAGTGCATCTTTCTATCTAATTTCAGACATTTGTTTTGAAGAGTTTGACAGGAAGTTCCAGCTTCCCCTATCACGTGACTTGGTCGAACTGAAATCAGACGTGGAGTTACACGGACAGTGCAAAAGCACTAGTGTCAACAACCTGCAGTAAAAGCTGGTGTGGTAATGGTTCTCGTATTGCCATTGTGACTTATGGAATTATTTTTGTTAATTGTCAGAAATACTGACATGTATTTGGTTTTAAACTTGACGGTATGACATGTTTTTACCTCACTGAAGAGAAGCCAAAGCTCGTTCATTAGCTAGAAACGTGATTTGCTCTGTCAGAAGCAGACCACTAAAACGCCTGAAAGCATGTCCCCAGTACCCGTCCTACCGCTGGTGATCAACTGTTTCTTGTCTGTGCTGGGCTGCTTGGCCACAATGAAACTCATCCCTGATTTCAAAGATCATTTCATCTCAGCTGGATTGCACGGAATGGACCTAAACAAAACATCCAAAAAGCAAGTGTGAGTCATTTTGGTGTCTGTTCTATGGTTTATTATTATTTACGTGTAATAATATAATAAATCATGTTTAATTTGGAGTTCAAATATACTCTTTTCCTACCCTAATTCTTGGTATGTTTCTCTTCCTTCTGTGCAGTCCAGAGTCTCAAGGAGTCATCAGTGGCACAGTCTTCCTCATTATCCTTTTCTGTTTCATCCCAGTGCCTTTCCTTAGCTGCTTTGTTGGAGATCAGTGCATGGGCTTCCCACATAATGAGGTGGGCTGGTAGATGCATAATAAACCTCAGTGTTTCTCTGAAATCTGAAATCCAGCTCTGATATGTGCGTTGCTTTTGGTCAGTTTGTACAGCTGATAGGTGCACTTCTGGCCATCTGTTGCATGATCTTCCTCGGCTTTGCTGATGATGTGCTGAACCTACGATGGAGACACAAGCTTCTGCTTCCCATGTTGGCTTCCCTGCCACTCCTCATGGTCTATTTTACCAACTTTGGCAACACAGTCATTGTGGTGCCCAAGCCCTTCAGAGTCCTGCTTGGGCTACACTTGGATCTGGGTGAGTTGTGTGGTGGTTTGCAAGACATCCTTCTCCAATGAGACATTCTCCAGCTCCTTCTGGGGTTTCCAAGATATTCCCAAGTGTTGTTTGTGTGGCATGTCTCTTGAAATATGAATCTTCATAGAAAAGCAAAAGCAGTTGTCATTGTGTGCTTTTTGTAAGACAACTCTGTTTAGAAACAGCTTTTCTGTCCATTGTGTTATATACCTAAACAGTCTGGGGAAATGCATTATATCTGTCAAATGGATCCAGTGAATTTGGACCATGCACTTGAGGCAATTGATGTTGGAAATGAGCTGCTCATAATAATGTAAATTTGGACAATCTACAGGTATTCTCTACTACGTCTACATGGGAATGCTGGCAGTATTTTGCACAAATGCCATCAACATCCTAGCAGGCATCAACGGCATTGAGTCTGGTCAAGCCCTTTTTATCTCTGGCTCCATCATCATTTTCAACCTGCTAGAGCTCAGTGGTGTGTGGTTATTTCCTGTTTACTTTACTTGAAATTGTTTGGAACAATAAAAAAAAAAAATGCATCCGATGTGTGAAATTATCCCTCCACACAGGCAGACTTTATAATTGAGGATATTTTACAGTGTTTGTATTTGTCCACAAACAGTACATCCTTACAACATTCAAAGTGCTGAATGCATTTCATTTGATATTTGGTTTGCTGTATTTATCAGGAGATTACCGTGACGACCATGTTTTCTCCCTCTACTTCATGATACCATTCTTCTTCACCACATTAGCACTTTTTTACCACAATTGGTAAGTTAGACCTACTACCTGAGGTTGTCTACATTTGAAAGTGCAGTAGAATATTTCATACTGTATGTCTGTGTCCTTACCATATAATCTGTCAACTTAAACCCTGTTTTTTCACAGGTACCCCTCATCTGTGTTTGTGGGAGATACTTTCTGCTACTTTGCTGGAATGACCTTTGCTGTAGTTGGCATCCTGGGGCACTTCAGCAAAACAATGCTGTTGTTCTTCATTCCCCAAGTAGTTAACTTCATTTACTCCGTACCTCAGCTTTTTCACATCATCCCCTGTCCGAGACACCGGCTCCCCAGGTAACCTGCTGTTCATGGAATTTGTTTTGTGATATGTTTACATGTATCATTTAGGCTAGTTATGTACTCTGTGTTGGTGTTTCTTCTTGATCTTTCTTCCCATGGTACTGCTAATGAAAGACTGAATCAAGACACAGGCAAACTGGGGATGAGTTATTCTAAATTCAAAGGAAAGGACCTTTCTAAATTAGGGCACCTCATTCTGAAGGTAAAGCTCTCATTTTTTCTGAATTCTTTTTTGGTTTTACTTAATTACTTTGCCTTAGTCCAAAACAGAGTTTTACTGAGCTGGCACATTTCAGTTCAGGGTTGCAGCTAATATTATTTATTTTCTATTGATTAATAATTTTTTAAACTAATTACTTAATCATTGCCTTAAAAAGTCCCTATTTGCCCAGTTTTCCCATTTCACAGTCACATTTTCCCAGAGCCCAAGCTACCATCTTCAAATAGTTTGTCATATCCAATCAGCAGTTCCAAACCCAATGATGTTTAATTTAAATTTACATAAAATAGAGCAAAGCAGCAAATCTGGAATTAGATGCTTATGAATTTTACTTGCTACATACATACACTTACATAGTAATAGGGTTTGTTTAGGGAGTACTGGTCTAGGTGAGTAAACAAACAATAATGCTTTTGATCATTGCCAGGTGGCAGAGTTATTGAAGCTGCTTGAGGTGCGACGAGTCCAGGAGAAAGATGATGAATTTATTGAATGCAACAACATGACGTTAATAAATTTGGTTTTGAAGTTATTCGGCCCCATCCATGAGAGAAATCTCACAGTCATCATGCTCATCATACAGGTAAAGCAAAGCACCTGCTGTATCCCAATGCACTGAAACAGTGTTTCAGTCATTGGAAAGTGGGTGAATGTTTCACTTTGTGTTCATTACCATGTCTCACCCAGGTGATGGGCAGTGCAGTGGCTTTTGGGATCCGTTATCAACTGGTGCGTCTCTTCTACGACGTCTAAACAGCTCTCAAGAACACAGGAGACAGTGCTGCCTGAGAAAATATGATTTTGTTGTGAAGCTTTTTACACAATCATGGTTCATCGACCTTTTAATATATTTAATGACCTTAGTTACTTTTCCACCTCAAACTATCTGCAGTAAAGACCCAGTGCAAGGTTTAAAGCTGTCTAAACCATTTTTTACATTTACATATTAAAGGCTAAAGCCTGATATCAACATCAGAACTGTTTGTTATTCTTCCACTATGGGTTTCAGTAAGTGCAGCTTCATCATGATTATCTTGTATGTCCCATCCATCCATCCATTTTCTAAACCGCTTAATCCCAAACGGGGTCACGGGGGGCTGGAGCCAATCCCAGCCAGCTGCGGGCGAAAGGCGGGGTACACCCTGGACAGGTCGCCAGTCCATCGCAGATCTTGTATGTCCACCCTGACAATATATTTTTGTACTGGTTTTTTTTTTTTTAAAGGAAAGTACAGTAAGAGGGGATGACTTTCTGTATTTGAAGCAGGCAAAATCAGTAGCTGACTGCTCCTAGATTGTCACCATTTGATAACAGATTTATGGGTGTAGAAGTGCTTTAAAAAGACGAGATATCTATATAGTGAGCTATTGCTTGAATGCTGCTGTTGCAGCAAATATGGCTTAGGAAAAATGTCCCCACTCACCCTTAATTTTGCATGACTTTGAATCCATGCAACATAGGTGAGTAAAGTGTCCTTTTTTGTTTGTTTTTACATCTAAACTATTACACTCTCAATGGTCACAATGAAGAGAAGCAGTGAAAATGAAAAGGAAGTCATTATTCATGGAGTGGGTGTCCAGATTATTGTTATGGTTACTCAAGATCTATTAAAGTGAAGAGTATTCTCACTAAAATAAAAATAAAAAACTGATTATTTTTTACAGTTCTTGTTATTACTGGATATAAAGCTGTATTTTTATGATCTGCATTTGCTACCCCGAGGGTTCAGCAAACATAAATGTGAAGTGAACTGGCACTGGACTATGTTGTTTAGGAATGTAACTACATGAGAAACTGTTTATTGTTGAGATGACCTGGTTCAAATTATAAAATAAAAGCTGAGAAAATAAAAGATTATTTTTTTGCAGTGGTGTATTTTAAAAGTAGCAATAATGTATAAATACTATAAATAAATAAGAACAGGAGTATTAACAGTATATATAATACTCCCACATGAGTCAGAATCAGCTTTACTGTCCAGGTGTGTCGGACACACGAGGAATTTGACTCTGGTGCATCGGCTCTCAATGTCTATGTACATATAACCATGCAAGGGGCAAGTAAACAATAAACCAGCATACGGCTGTGCAATATAACAAAATAAGCAGTATTGGCAAGCAAAAAACCAGGACTGTGAATGTAATCTTTTATTTAGCTACTTACTGATGTAATTAAGTGCAAGTGCAGCATTCAAGTAAATGCATTTAGTTATATTATTTTCAGGCGGAACAAATTGCAATCGGAACCACTGGACTATACCTTGTTTCTAGAAGGCATTTGCGCTGCAGTGCACACAGCCAGCATTTGGTTTCCGGCCAAAACGATTCTGATATTTATATCATGTCAATGTGTTTACATAGTGAGGTCTTGTGCTGAATTGTTTCTTTAAGTAAGAATTTATCTGTTTTGTGCCTTTTTGGTCGGTGTTTCCTAAGCTCCGTAAGAGCTTAGGAAAGAAAAATGTGTTAACTAGAGACACACTAGTTTCCAACCAGCACCTGGTGTTAGCTAAATTAATGCTTAGTAGATGGAGGCTGATAGTCAAACCTGGGGAATAACGTTTGTAGCTTCAGTCTCGGTGTAAAACACACTACTCTGACACAGATAAATGGCTCCTAACAAACGGATACAGAAGAAAGCTCTTAAATTGGAGTGTGAATGGGGTTTTTGTCAAGAGTCGTTCAGTCGTATGGAAAACTTCTGCAAGCATGTGGAGGGTCACCTTAATGCTTTGAACATGGCGGAGGAGGACGAAGAAACGGAAGGTGAGGATTATTTTAGCGTTATAATTCACAGTATCTGCCGTTGCCTTGTTTACCGTTGATATTAGCACACCTTTGATAGATTTGACTGTGTACTGCAGCACACTGGCTTGAAATGAAGCAAAAACATCGGCTAAGCTATTACCTGCCCGACGTGAATTTCATGGCATCTGTTTCATTTGCTGAAGACCAGAGTGAATGCAAGAAGCCCCAGAAGTGTCGTCACGTCTTACTTGCAAGATGCAGAATGTGATGACTTTGTGTCTTTAACTTTTTACTCCCTAAAATTGCGTATGACACCTGCTACAATTCCTTCACTTTTTATCTACATCTACAGTCATGTGGAAAAATGAGGACACCCTTTGAAAGCATGTGTATTTTGTAACATGTTTTAATATATGGTTATTTAATCTTAATTTTAACAATACAGAGAGATTAAAGTAATACAACTAAACAAGTAAAACTGAAGAAAAGTCTTTTCAAGATCTTCTGTAAATGTAATTCTACAAAAATGCCTATTCTAACTGAGGAAAAAGATAGCACACCCTAGCCCCTAATAGCTAGTGTTACCTCCTTTGGCTGAAATAACTGCAGTGAGACGGTTCTTGTAGCCATCTACCAGTCTCTGACATCGGTCTGAGGGAATTTTACCCCACTCCTCAATGCAG